CCCTGATACTATTTTCCCAAGCACCTCGGTGCTGTAGAGTTTGTTGGGAGAAACAGTAAAAAGTGAAGCACCATGGTGCTATAGATTCAACGTTGCAGTGCTGGGTAATGTTGTAATGCTGTGAGTTTGAACATTGTAGCATCATGATGACGGCTTTCTTTTTGCTTCTTAAAGAAGGTGATATGCTAACTACACCAAGGGATCCAGAAACCTGCAAGAAAACAATGAAACAGGACAGACAAGACCAAAGAATAGAATTCCTCTGTAAAATTGAGATATATTTCTTCTGTGTATTTCTTTACCGCTTCTCCTCTATGTATGAGGTCTTCTTACATCTTTTCTAAATAACTAACAGCAAGCAAAAAGTGGGAATAAAAGTCCCAGGCACTAAAGTAGCAAAAAGACAAAAGCGGTTAGTAGATAATGGAACTAAAACATAAGAGGAGTCGTGTACTAATATGAGCTGGCTGTATAGGTAGCTGTATGAGCTCGAATACTAAAGGTACACTGCATCAGATCCCTCCTGTTAAGTAGAAGTCACAGTGTCCACACTGTTTGCTAAATCAGCTTCATCTGGCAGCTTATAAGGATGGATATCGGCCACATTAAAAGTAGACGATGTGTATATATGCGGCGGTAGTTCAACTATATACGCATTATCATTTATGCGTTTAGTAATTGGAATTGGTCCAAGCTTGCGAGGATTGAGTTTGGAGTACTGACCCACCGGAAAGCGTTCTTTTCGCATCCACACCATGACAAGGTCTCCTGGTTCAAATACTAGTTTCCGCCTATGAAGATCAGCCGCTTGTTTGTACTGATTATTGGATTCAACCAGTTTTGTTTTAACGTCATGAAGCACAGAATATTGTTGATCTGAGAACGTAGCAGTTGCTGCTGTTTGGTATTTGGGCAGTACCGCTATGTACAGAATGTGATTTGGTGGTTTGGTATAGACAATACTGAATGGGCATCATCCTGTCAATCGATTGGTCATGGAATTATATGCGAACTATGCTTGACCCAGGACCTCATCCCATTGTTTTGGACGATTCTTCACAAGGCATCGTAGCATGTTAGCCAACGTACGATTCACTACTTCTGCCTGGCCATCGGTTTGGGGATGTTATGCTGAGCTAAGCTTAAGTTCAGTGTGTAAATGACTCCACAAATCTCGTCAAAAATGACTAATGAACTTCACATCTCTATCTAAAGTTATACTTCGTGGCAGCCCATGTAGTCGAACTACCTCTTTAAAAAAAATTCGAGCCATGTTAAATGCATCAAAAGTCTTTTTGCATGCTATAAAATGTGCCATCTTTGAAAATCGATCGACAACCACCAAGATATAATCAACTTCATGCTTCGTTCTAGGCAATCCCAATACAAAATCCATACTTATATCCTCCCAAATGGACTCCGGCACTGGAAGAGGCATATATAGTCCCGCATTTTGAGCAACACCCATATATTCTTAGCAAACGGAGCACCGTTCCACCAATTTCAGGACAGCACGGTGCAAACGAGGCCAAAAGAACCGGCTCTGTAGTTGTTGCAGGGTTTTTCTCTACCCAAATGTGCTGCTAGTCCGCCGCTGTGGGCTTCCCGAATTATTTGAGAAAGATAAGAAGAATCTGAAATGCACAGCAGATTCCCTTTGAATAAAAATCCATGCCTTATGGAGAAATCTTTGAACGGAGTGACATTGCTGCACTGCTTCCATATGTATCCGAAATCCATAACTTCCTCGTACTGGTCCTTTAAACATTCCAAACCTGTTAATTCTGTTTGTAATTGTGTGAGCAACGCCGCCCTCGATAAAACGTCGGTAACTCTATTGAACTTGCCCGACTTATGTTTCAATACGAAGGCAAACTTCTGCAAGAATAAGACCCATCGAGCATGCATACGGTTTATTATTTTTTGGCTGTTTATAAATTGAAGTGACTTGTGGTCGCTGCACAACAAAAAATCCTGATAAAGTAAATAGTGTTCCCAATGCTTAAGAGCTCGTACACGGCGTACAGTTCCTGCTCATAAACTATCCACTTTTGTCTGCTCGAGCTAAGTTTCTCGCTGAAATATTCCTTTCGAGCTGCATCAATACAGCCCCAATCCCTACAGTCGAAGCATCCGTTTCCACTTGAAAAGGCTTTTCAAAGTCGGGCAATGCAAGCACTAGTGCGGAGCTGAGTGCTTGTTTAATACAATCAAAGCTGTGTTGTTGTTCGGCTCCCCAAGAAAAAGATTTTTGTTTCAAACAATCTGTAATCGATGCCATGATTATGCTAAATCCCCTTATAAAATGTCTGTAGAAATTGGCGAGGCCGTGGAAGCTACGAATGTCAAATAATGTCGTTGGGGAAGGCCACTCCTTAATAACAGAAATCTTGCGCAGATCTACCTCCACTTCGCTCCGCTGGCGGACATAATGAAACCAAGAAAATATACTTGTGAAGTGGCAAATTCGCATTTCGACAAATTAAGGAATAATCGGTGAGCTCTCTAGATTTGAAAATTTTCAGTCAAATGTCGTAAGTGAGCATCCATAGAGTTGCTAAAAACATGTATATCATCAAAATATACTACGCAAGATTTACCCAAAGTGGTTTGAGTACCTCATTCATTAGCCACATGAATGTCGCCGGAGCATTGCACAATCCAAATGGCATCACTCGCCACTCATACAATCCCTGGCGTGTTTTAAAAGCAGTCTTCTATTTGTCACCGCGGCGAACTCTAATCTGGTGGTAACCACTTTTGAGGTCTAACTTAGAGAAGACTTCAGCGCCGGCGAGTTTATCAAGCAGTTCGTCGATTCGCGGAATGGGGAAACGGTATTTCACCGTAATCTTGTTGATTGCTTGACTGTCAATACACATTCTCTACTGACCATCCTTTTTGGGCACCAATAAGGCCTGGACTACGCACGGACTCAGGCTAGTTGGATGGGTTACTTGTCCAGGAGTTCATCAACGATCCCTTGTAGTATGGTGTGCTCCTTGGGGCTCATTTTATAGTGAGACAGATTTGGAAGCGTTGCTCAAGCAGTGAACTCAATTAGGTGTTGGACGTCTCACAGGGGCGAAAGTCCCTCAGGTAGTTCCGCAGGCGCAATGTCCTCAAATTGCTTCAGCAATGACCGAACTGTATCAGGTGTATCTACAACAAAGGAATTGGGATGTGTATCTGTCACTACTAAGGCCATAATGTCAATTTCAGTTTGGCCCGTGGCTAGCAGAGCACGTCCATCCACCAACTGAAAAACTGCATTTGTTTCTTTATTGTTCTGTTTGGGGTCATAACAGAATGTTAACAGCCTAATCTTCTTACCTTTCCAGTCGAAGGCATAAGTATTTTGCCTACAAGCATAAACAACCACAATGTCGTACTGCCATGGTCGGCCCAAAATAACATGGTCGATATCCATATCGTTTTCACACAAAACTTCGCACATGTACTGCTTCCCAATAGAGAACGTAATTCGACACATTTTCATCACCATGACTTCCGTTCCTTTCTTGATCCAACTGATCTTGTATGGATTGGGGTTCTTTTGTGTCTTCAGTTGTAAAGCTTGAGTAAGAGAGCGGGCAACTATATTTTCTGCACACCCATTGTCGATGAGGAGGTCGCATACCTTTCCTTCAATTGTGCAACGTGTGCGGAAGATATCATTTCTTTGGGACTTAACAGGTTGGTGAGGAGTTAGCAACAGCCTCTCCAAAACACAAATAACTATATCTCCTTCATCAGCGCCCAGTTCTTCA